TGTTCCCTCACGTTTTGAATACTCTCGACGTGAATGAGAATATATTATACGTGAATGAGAGTATATTATATTATAATTAGTTCGTAGCTAAATGTCAGACACACTAGAGAGAATAGATACGTATCAATTTTGAACTAAATGAAGGATACAAAGTCGAAAAAAAATATTTAAATAAACCTATTAATGATATTATAGTGAAAAAACAGTACGTAAATGAAATAGAAAAATTAAAAATGGAACGTTATGAAAAAATCATTTTTAATTACTATGTCTAATATTGTAAAAATAATCATGATGCAAAATGTCAAGTGATTCGCTATCGTCTTTCTTTATGCACGTGTATCCCTCGATAAGCTGTTACGTCGCATTATGTATGCTCTCCAAGTGCTGCGGCTATGAGAATAAAACGTAAGTCGCGACAGGCGATTGCCTTTCTCGGAATTAGATAAGTCCCTTTATTGGTGATCAGATCATTGCTGTTGCTGCTGCTGCAACAGCAGCAGCGATGGCAGCGGCAGCAAGTTCAAGGTTGACTGGATAAAAATAACCGGATCTTACCGGACTCTCGCTTGGACGGAGAATGCTTCTCGCTACATCTATTGATTGTGCTCTCGACCGGAAATGTACTGTTCGCACCACTCTAATCTGCCAAGACATTTCGAGTCTCACCCCATCAAATAATTCTCTCAAATATCACGGTACTGATTTTAGAGACGCTCGAACAAATATAATCAATCTCATATATGCACATACTAATTACTTTTTTATTTAAAAAACGCTCATAATTAACTCTTAATTTAATTTACTTATAGTAATTAATTCATTTTAATTTAATTCAACAATTATTTTCCTCAATTCTTATTAATTCTTCTCGGCTTACTGAAAAATTTCAGATCGAAAACATAAGATGTTATAAAAATTACTTTTGCTGAGACAAATTGCGCCAATTAATTTAACTTTAAGCTCCGAGAACTATATAAATCCAGATAAATTCCAGATAATTTTGATAGAAATTAGTATCAGCTCAACAGTTAAAATTATAGTCTGCGACACAAGCCATATCGATGAATATTGGAATTCATGATAAGAAATTCGTTACACACATAAATTCAGTATAAAAAATCGCCATCCTAAATTCTCTCGTAACGAACTGACAAAACTTACGACGTCATATTCTGTTGAATGGAATGAGATTATTGCCAGATTATTGGCACTTACCATCATCGGTCAGAGACGTGATAATTCCAGTGATTAATTTCCTAAAAATTGTGGAGTGGATTTTAATAAGGTCTCGATATTCGAGGAACGTATGTCGCTCATAATAAGCAATAGAAAGAATGTTGTATACTAAATATCGTATAATTATACTGAATAAAGTACATAACGTATAATAACGCTAGTCTCAACGTTTTATTGAATATTCAAAGTGGTAACACTATTAGTAGCGACATTTCTTATAATGTGTAATAAACGATTAGTCTAAAACTTCTGCTTTTTCGTAGCATCATCCCCATGTCTCGTCGTCTCCGTCATCGTCGCTGTATCGCGTTATCGGCAAATATCTTTTCCTGAGACGAAATATAAACGAATCGCGTTTTTTTTTGTTTGTTTCGTCACATAATGATACAAGTACATAGATTTATTAGAAATATTGCGAGAATCTAGCGTAAAATCGGTGACGAATGGGTGTGTATTTGCATATATATGTATAATTATATATATATAATACGAAAAAATGCGCGTAGAATTACATATATAATTATACATATATCTATATACAATATAGATATAGGTATATTTACGGTGTTGGTTTCATCTCGGAAGCGGGGAGACAACTTTTTGCCATGGAACTTTATTTGCGTCCGCGTCCGAGATAAATCCGACTCTAAAAATCACGACGTCTATCTTTACGTCATAATTGTCTATCTATTTCAGGCGTTTGTCAACTTCTCATTTTCTCTCACTCTCTCTTTCTCTCAAGTACTAGGTGAACTCGATCGCGCAAGTCGATCGGAGGAACGACATATGTAATTTTAAGGTTGAAAGACCGGAGTGAGTCGAATGGAATATATATTACATCGAAACAGCGAAAATGGATCGTGATTTACTCAGGAAGGGACGGATAGAGTCTTATTGAGGTGGCTTAATCGCGAATAGAATGTCTATTGCACTGCTACGTCTATTGCAGAAGAGAGCTATTGCGATGATGTACAGTAAACGCTATATGATATGCCCGGAGTACAATTGCAAACTATACCCTGATTGTTACTCATACAACAGTATCATAAATATCGTTATCGATAAACACTTTCTTCGATCAGTCGAAAAGAAAGACGACGAATCAAAATTCTCGTTCGAATTCTATCTTTCAATATTTCATTCGCTCTCTATTATTTACAAAACAAAATCTGTATTAACTTGATTTCTTCAATGACATATATAACAATCTTTTTATCTGTAAATTTTTTATAACATTAAATGCTTTAAACATAAATTTTATAGGATTTCAACTCTGGACCATTTCAAGATCCCCGAACTTTAATTCTCACGTTGAATTTTGATAGCGTGCTCTTCGTTGATCGGTTTAGGAAGAAAAATGTTTCTCGATCATTTTTTTTTTCTATGTATTCATGATTGCATGACAAACTCGCGCAATCGATTTCGCCTATCTTTTGCGCACTTTCTCGATACAAATACATCTGTACTCCCTCGTATGGATTATCGATCGTTTATAGCGATCGAACGCACGCTAAAAAAGGCTACGAAGGCTATACTTAAAAATTAAAACAACAAGTGAAACACAATGAGACAAGTGTACATCGTTGGTGCTTCGAGCGGGCTCTTATCAAATTGTCCATCGATACGCCGCACTCGATTTTATCGTGAAAGTTCGGATAAAAAATTGAGCTAAAAACGGCGACGGGAGGAAGGTGTGACAGAGGAAAGAAAGGAAAAAGACGCCAAAGCAAATGAGCAACACGCCGAAGGACGTAGGAGAGATACGAATAGCTTCGTTTTTCGCAATACCTCATGTTTCTTCTCTCTTCATTCTCAACTGATTCTGTCGAACGCTACTTCAATTCATTTTCTTACTGCGGACATTAAGAAGTACTTGAACAAGACCTCGTCGCGTTTCGCAAATGATGAATTTGTACGATTCTAGCTTTTCAATTCATATTCTTCGCACAGGACGACAAACTAAATCCATAAATAATAAAGAGAGGAAACTTTTTCACAACGAGAATCAAAATGTGGAGAGGCTTCAATATCTCTTCTTGCGCGCCCTTACAAAATGCCGCTCAACAGACATCCCCCGACATTACTCGCGACAGGATTTTCTTCTGCCCGAACGACGCGGCCTTTCAAGCGGAACATCACGTAACGAAATGATTCTGCCCGGGTTGTGTCGGTGGGTGGGCTCTTCTTCTACTTGCCGATTCGATTTAATTCGCAGGAATTTCGACGCGACGTTGAAATGTATCGCAGACACGGTTTTCAGTATGTCGACCGCTTTCTTTTTTTTCCTTTCCCTCGACTGTTCGCCTTCGTTAATCTAATTGTCATTTTCTCCCTCTCCCGCTCCCTCTTTCTCTCTCTTTTTCTCTCACTCTTTTTCCTCACACTCACACACTTTAATATGCTAAGGAGCGTTAAGTAACTACCTCATCTTTGTCGAAAAATAGTACATCGTGTTGGCTACTCGGTCCCGAAGTTCCTTGCTGGTCGCGTGCGCGATTACCTCGACCACTATGCGCTTCCGAAAGTTTTTCTCTTCCGAAAAATATGCGTATACACATCTGACAAAATTAAGAAATAATGAACAATACGGAGAAAGCGAATCGTGTATGAGAATGAAATGATTTCGGTGTCTTTATTCCATTCTCCGCATCGCAAGAACCGTCATGTGAGTCTTATTTTGCGCTTATTATCCGCTTAATTTTATGATGCCTAAATGGCATCGCTAACTCGACATCGATGGTAAAAGCATCAATCGAACGATTCCGACACGGAATGTTTGTAATAACGATCGTGTCACACTTGCGGGATACATTCACTCTCCGCTTATCGATAAAGTATATTTAATATTCTAAAGAACACGTATGCAATCGCGCGCGTCATGCTTTCCTACCTGGAATAATCACCTGTATCGTCTTTTTATGTTAATTCTTCAAGTCTTCTTAAATCGGTAATATCAGTACACAAGTGAACAAGTGCTTGTGAACAATGGGAAAAGGTAGATTATCTTTAGCACATTTGTACGTCTGTTAAAAACGATCTAAAAAAAAGATTCATTCTCGAAAATCGACCTTTGATCAACAAACAAGATATGCTTTTGATAGAAAAATAAAATTCTCTTTGAAATTATAATATTGATATTAAATAAATAATTAATATTAGAAAGAAAATTTTATAATTTTTATATTTAAAATTATATATATCCTATTCTTTTATTATATATATGAATATTTCCAAATGAGATATTGATATATATAAAAAATATAAATTAAATATGATTCTTTTTTATATTCACATATTTTTTTAGATATTGCATATTTTGTATAATCTGAGTTTAATTTTCAGAGATAAGCATCTTTTTTTCAATCGTTTCTAATGTAATTACATAATCAAGTTAGATCGATTGTCGATCTTGGCGATATCCTCGGTGATATTGCAGTCATTCGTTGAAAATAAACTTAATAATTCACCATATGGTAGCTTAAAGGTAATGATGTTAATGACTTTTGCGTTGAAATAATGAAGGGGAGAATTCCTCTGTGGAAAATGTCACGCAAGATAATAAAAGACGCGTCGTCTCGATCGTCTCGAATCGTGCACACACATATATGATATAAAAATTTTAATAGCATCTCGATGAACAAAGAAAATATCGGCGAACAAAATTATACAAAATTATTATAGAGCCGCCAATAGGCGATAGAATAAAAAAAAACAATCTATAAAATCAGTGACAAGAACCTTAAGACAATCTTTTCTATATCCTTTCTCTGGAGACTTTTTTTTTTTTTAGAAATGTCCACATTCAGTGTCGATTATCTTTCGTTGTTACTGTCTGTACTCGCCATGACCGTATATTCAATGCATTCTTTCGGACCACCCGTTACACTAGTCATCCTCGTATGAAAAGGCTCTCTTTAGGATTTTTACGTCTGCACGTTCGAGATACATGGAACAATTAGAGAATAGGAAATGTCACGCTTGAGAGGAGCCTCCGAATGGCTCGCGCGTTTCCGGCAAGCGAAACGACAAGCCTTTTCTTTTTCCCATCAATATAATACCGTATTTCATTCAATGCAATTTTACGCGACCGCGCGCTTTTTTTTTCTCCTCCATAGATTTTGCTCTTATTCGCGCCGCACTTTGTGGTTTTCTCTTCATGATGGGATAAAAAAATTTTAAGAAAAAGAGTATCATTGGGAATCTGAATATCCTGTTTGGGAACGAACTTACGCGATGACAACGTCGTGCACGCATAGTTGACAGTCGATCGTACTCGAAGCAGATTCGCGAATATCGCAATGAATTGCTCGTCGATAATGACGAGTGTCCTTCCTCTTCTTCTTTTTCTCCTACTTTTCTTTACACTTCTCGTTGCATTTGGTCGAGCTCGCGCGATAGGAACACGGAAGATTTCTCGTCAAGTGAGGATTGGAATTGGTCGCGATCACGTCATGCCGTCTCAGCCTAATACAGCCCATTGCATAAAATCGGGCACTTCTCTCACAGGTACGTCCCTGGCCAGAGCCTTCACCCTCAGGTTCCGGTCTTCCGTGAGCAGGACCACCTCCCGTCTCAAACGTCGCGGTTGCCCTTCCTCTGCTGGGACAAAAGACGGGATTCCCCGAAATTTTTTTTATTGAATTCACGCGATCTTCTCGAAGCCCTCCCGCTATTAATGCACATTTATTCTCTTTTCCCGGTATTCTTTGATAAATTTAAACCAACTTGAAATATTGCCTCTAAATCGACTTTGATAAATTTAAAAAGAGGATTAGCTTCTTTGACAAATCTAGAGTCAACTATACTGCTGAAAAAAGTATAGCTATCTTCTTTTCTTGGGAAGATTAAAATAAAATTATAAACGATCGTCCCGCAATATCTGACGTAATAAATTACCAGGTAAACGAGCAGGACAATAAAATGAAGAAAAATATTTCTAAGTCGAAGCTCTAGATAAAAAGACTCCTACCTGTGTTTGCTTGATCCTTGTTGCTCCTGCAGAGGTTGAGGCACGTAGTTAATATTCTGTCATCGTTGCGTGTCAGTTCATCCTGAAATAAGATGATCGAATAAGAATATATCGATAAACTTGCTATATAATTACGTTCGCAATTTCAGTCGAGCTCCCGAATTCGTCACAGAGATTGTCGTTAAAATTGAGTCTTCAGACTGAGACATTACGTTGGCACAAAGATAAGCAGGTACGAAGCCGCGATGTTGCGGAAAATGATCCGCACGTACACCCGCGTGGGTGTTCTCGGATACTCGGCTCGTTATCATAACATTCGCGCTTCAATGAACACCGTGCTTCAACTCTCTTCGCTGCCATTGATCTTCGGAACGACTACTTCTGTTGTATAATACCGTGTAGCTGTTAGAATCCTATCGACTGAATGTCAAAATCATTTCGCTTTATCGTGTCGCCTGTCATTACAAACTACAGGCGTTCAGATACAAAGTCGCGATGAACATATAACAACCCCTTCATAATTTACATACTCAAATCAGTTGTCGAAAAGTGTTTTGTAATCGCCAATGATATTCAAAATCATATTATCTGCTCACCAGAACATAAAATAGATTGATATGACAGATGGAGATACATGATGGGATTGGAGAGTAATGTGTGGCGATAGCTTTGAAAAATTTTCTAAAGTTGTTAGACAAAGAGAAAGATAAAAAAGGAGTAGACAAGGACATTGCTCATCGCGAATCCTACTCCGGTCAATGATCGATGCAAATTTGCCTTCTAAATACCCCGAGAACATCGAATACAGTTACTCAAGAGGCCAATGTAAGCGTATCGAATCGCTAACGTTCTCGTTCTTCGTTTCTCACTTACCTTGTCGACATCCTCCTCCGCTGTAAAGGTGCTGGATGGGAGAACGGTGCCTCTTGTGGTTACGCACCGGATCGCCGGATTTCGGCTCCTCGCGAAGGCCAGTGCCGCCTTGGCACTCTCGGCAACTCGCGCCACATGCTCGGGATTTAGAGTCGCCCTCGATGCTGGAGGACAATCTCTCGCATCGGCGCCCCGTGTCAGACCGTCGAGTTCGTTTAGCACTGCAACAAAAGATTTCATTTCCGCTCGTTAAACACGCGCGACTAAAAATTCGCTGTGCGCGCGGGAGGGAGTAACAAAATTAATTCGTCATTGAATTATTTCGCATATAGCGTGAATTCTTGAGAAATTAATGTTTGTAGAGAAGAAACAAATAAAAGGAGAATTTTGTCGAAAGATATTAATCTATTACATTATAAAATACTTGTGTTTATTATGATTTGTGTAATAATATATTAATACATTTTATCCGATTTTATATCATTTTCATGTATATATATTGTTTTTCGAAATTTATTGTATTTATAATTTTTAATTTTATTAAACACAAAAAAATAAAAACATTATAAAAACATTATAAAAAACTGATAAAATTTACGATAAAAATAAAATTTACAAGTATGAATACGTCGCGATCTTCTCGTTACTTTGTTCATGAAATTTGGTATTTCAATGATTGAGAAAAAAAAATCATGTACTTTCTTCAAGTTTCTATATAATTACACTGACATAATAATTCCTCATTTAGGATTAATTTTTTATCTTCATAAATACGGATTCCTTATCGAAAGCGTTGAAAGAAACTGTCTCTATAACTCAATGTCGCCTCCAAGTACGTGATTTCTCGACGGGATTGAGCTCATTTTCGTGACCAAGACTGAAGCAAATAAGATGGCAAGATGTCGTTAAAGCAAAGAATCATCAGCTAAGTTCAAAAGCTCCTCTCTCTCAATTTCATCAGACATCGATATCGCCCACGTACCGATCGTAACCGGGATGCACCACCGTTGCCGCCGTCGTCATCGTCGAACCAATCGCGGACGTTTCAAGCACATACATGCATTCATGAGCCGTGAGAACCTAACTGTGAACGCTCACCGTTGCTGGCCGGGTCGGAGAGCCAGACGGACCGACTGGCCGACGAGGTCAAAGGGCAGCGAGCCGGCCGATTTTGCATGAAGGCACACTTTCGTTTTTCGGTCCCGCACGAACGGCAAAAAGGAAAGGGAGAAATGTGCCGAGTGAAAAGATAACAGAACAAAGATACTTCTTTTCCTACGATATAATAGTAATTTTTTTTACTTTCATTATAAAGCTAGTAACAACCGCTTTACTTCAAACAGACTGTTTTTTTATTTTTCATCATGGATAATCACAAAAGATGATCATGTTTAGTATTATTGAGTAGACTTAATTTTTGAAATATTGAAATATTTTTCAAAATTTCTGAAAATGTTCATTTATTAAAATCGTTAACTAAGTATCAGTACACAATTAAATTGTTATTACATTATTACATTAAATTGGTTAATAATTTAAACGTCAAAACGCAAGATTAGAGAAACTTCTTTTTATTTTTAATATTTAATTTATCATATTAAAAGATATTAAATTTATAATTTAAAAAACTTTATTTTTCTTACACGATTTGATATAATAGATATAAGTGTAATTTGATGTGATAGAAATGGAAAATGTAAAGCTTTAAATTGAAAAAAAAAACGATAAGATAAATTCAGAATTCGATCTTAAGACTCTTTATTTACCATATCATCTCTTGAATCCTTTATCTCCTCTGTACGAAGTTTTTTCAACGAGGAAGATTGTGAATGCGAGGGGGAGTTTTTTCGACTCCATTCGGCCACAGATTGCCGCATGGGTGCAGGGGGAAGCAATCTACGGAAAATGCAAATAGGAGATTCAGCAAACTTTCCCCGACTCAATAAATTAACCGGCTGCCAGCCTTATCCTCCTTCCAGACCCCACGAGCAAACGAACAAGGGTGGCGAATGAAGTTTACGAAACAGAGGGACGGAAATAGAAAGAATAGCTGCGAAGCGACAGGATGCAGGAAACAGTATTATTTATCGCTTAGACTTGCAGACATCGTTTATCATCGCGCGATAAATAATCACATATTCCTTTGCTGAGAGACGTATACAATAATAATTAAAACTTGTAAACGATATAGAAATATTGTACTAAAATTTCGCCACGACATAACATTGTAGAAATCTTAATTCTTTACTTGATATATTTTTTATATCTTAATCTTGCCATCTTATTCTTCAAATTTTTCATATTTTATCTTACAATTTTCTTGATGCTTAAAACGAGATTTTTTGTAAAATCAAACAGTCAGAAAACTTAACGAATACGATGAACCATGACTAATCGATGATGGCGATAATGCTTAATTTTGCCATCGTAATCCTCGAGGCGAAATATTTGTCCTTGCCCTATCGCAACGGCCATGACCTCGCCTAACAAACGTTTCGGCATTCGAAGCTCTTCCGCCAGGAATATCGATAATCCATGACAAAATAGAACAGGCAACAGTGACGTAAGCTTCCGCAAAATACCGCCTGGCTCATTATTGGCATCGTGAATCAATTTTGCTGAATCGACGATTGGATCAACGCTAATTGGCGATAGCGATGATGATTGATGAGCCTTTCGATTTCTAACGGCCTTGAATCTTGACACCAGCCTTGTCTTCATCAAAAAGCAAGCGTGCAACTTTCACGATCTTTTCAAAAAGTTTTCAGTATTTAAAAATAATCGCTTTTTACGTTACAACTAATACGTGCTACTTTTAATTTGAAAGATATAATCGTTGCAATTTCGATAAAAATTATTTCTATGATATATCGTTCAAAAATTGCATAGCGCGAATTCACGGCCCCAAGATAACGATTCACGATACACGAAATAAACACATCACAAGAGATTAGACACTCGAGCAAGTAAGATGTGACGCGCGAGGCAATAAATGCTCCGAATGTCTATCCTAATATAGCCGTACTTCAGACGTATCTACTATAAAATACCGTGAAAATGTCAGCCGTACCGTGGAAGATTGTAAATTTATCGTCGATTGCGTTTCGTTGAGTAGCGAGTGCCTATAAACTGCGACTATTAGAAAAGAGAGAAACAACCGGTCGTACCTATGCGTCATCGTAGTCATCATCATCATAGACCGATTGACAGAAACGACCGTCCTATCTTCGTGTCCGTAAAAGACACTCCGGTTGAAAATGACTGATGTGACGCGCGATTTGTTCCATCGCTATGATTATCATCGTTGCGTTCAATAAATTAATCAATCCGCTGAGAACTTAATTCCCTTACGAGAAAGAAATCTTTCTTTATCTTCAAGAACGATTATTTTCTTCGAGGGGATGCAATTTCAAGAAATTATCATCCTAAGCAACATATAATAAACTGAATTTTTTAGTTAAAGTTTTAATACACGAAGCTCATTAATTTATTAAACTTATTTCTACTGATTGATTTAGAATTGCCGTACACGCCTCTCGACAAGCATTTGATCGAGCTAATACGCGTTTTGTTATTCCTCGTGATACGGTAGTATGATTACCGCTATCTGGATTCCAACGTCGTATATAATGCTCTTCGAAGCGAATAATAATTAACGGGTTCTAATAATGTAATAAGTGTCACAAGACTTAACCAGAAAAACACGTGTATCGAAAGTTCTGCGTTATAAATTTTTGTATTAGAATTATATTAGATCTTTTTCTTCCGTAAAATAAGACAGAGACTACTATTGTTAATTATAATCTTACTTTCAACATTAAATACTTTGACAAATGACATCGCAAATAAAATTCTATTAAAATTTCAAAAATTGATAATTGCATCCAGCAAAGTGTATAATTTTGTCGCAAATGGAAAAATTGGTGCAAATATATTTATGTCTCTCATATATAAAGGCATCGCAGCTGTTATCTTTACATAGCGGAACGCAATATGTATGCGTTACGAAGTGCTCCGGATTTAACGGCTTTGAATAACCGATGAATTGATTCGGGCCGAATCTCGACGTGGGACCGTTAATAAAGAAGACGCAATCTTACAATACGCGATCGGCGACGCTCGAGAGAAATTGCTCAACGCTAATTGGAGCGGTGGAATCGACGACTTTGCATTCCTCAGCGTCATCATCCTCCATCGTCGAGGAGCTGACGCAAGCGCCGTTAATGGCCGTATCGGTCGGAGTTCGATTCGTGGTGCAAACGCGGTTCATGCCGGACAACGACGACAAACGGCAGGGATAAATGGGACAATCCATTCTCACGAGATGGAGGGAGCAGGAAAGTTCCGCGACAGGTGACGCGTAATGACGATGACCTAATGAACTATCCCCCGCTAGAAATCGGCGACTTCGATGACGATGAACGTCATCGTGGACGAGGTGAGTCGGGTATGTTTGCGTAGCGACGATTACTTTGACCCGAGGTGTGACCTTCGAGTTGTCGTTTCTCTTTGGTGACAATCTCTATCCGAATACAACTTTGATAAAATGTGCCCCCCCCGTCACCGCGTACAGTTTGTCAAACATTACGTGGATATCTGCATATATAAAGCTGATTAAAATGGTTCAATAACCGATTTATTAAGCGATATGATGATACGAAAAAAATATAGACAATCTAAGATAATCTACATCCAACGATTATGAAAGAATCTGTCCTCTTCCTTCGTCTGTAGAGATGCTGTAAATTTGCAAATTTGCTCGAAAGATGGAATTATGAGAAAGGATGTTCATTTCTTTTTTTTTAATGATTAGAGAGATGCCGACGATCACGATTATACATACATGTATTTTCGAGAACGAGCATCGTTGTTTCATAACGACTATGTCTTCAATCTGCAAGATTTTTACAAAGATTTTACGAGACGAACGGAACATTGGCGCGACGACATAGAGCCAAGTTTACGATATTCGACGGGTCGATTCTCCTTCATTTCTCTTCGATTTAAAGACGAGTCGGCTTCTAGACAAACACGATCTCTCTCGTTATTTATCGACGATTATTTCGCGCGCGCAGTCTTTCCTCACGAGAAAAAGGGAGAAGGATATTACACTGAATCATGTTATACCCATCTCTCTTGTTCAAGATAATTGACGACCTTCGGATAAAAAAATGATCGGAGAAGACGGGGGTCAAACGACGCGTGTGTCGACCTCTTGTTTCTTTCTCCCTTCTCGTTATTGATGATAGATTAAATTTTTGTTTTCACTTACCGACAAGTGGCACCATGAGAGTGTAGATCGGTTGCGCGCCGGAAGTGGCCCTCGCGATGATCTGCAGCTGCGGTAAGTAGTCGATGAAGCAGTTTGTGTCTGGCACTAATTGTCTCGGTCTCACCTCGATCTCCACCGACACCGAGGATTTTTGCAGAATGGCCTAAACATTATAAATATATATACATAAACAATATGTATTGGAAACATTAATAAATTTCATAATTTTAAAGCTCTTTTTTATGAAAGCCGAAAATATATGAAACATATTGATATAGATAAAAAAAATACAAATTATTAATAATAAGACTAATATTTAATAATGTTAAAAAATATACATTTAAAATAGCTCATGTGAATTAGCAATATTATATTTAAGGAGTATCAAATATTGTAAAAAAATTCTCTGAAATTCCTTAATTTTTCAGATAAAGAGAATTTTTTAAACACTTTTTGGATCAGATATTTTAAATAAATTTTTTGATTGTGTATGTTTTCTAATGCTTCTCAAACACTTCTCACTTGTACAACACATTTTCACTTTTAACACTAAAAATGACAATAAAGAATATGTATTTCATATTCGATATTTTATTAAGATATTGAATAGGCAAATATAGATATAGATAAAAAAACAGATATATATTTATAACATATTTTAAACGTATATAATTTACAATTTAGCCAATTAATTATCAAATTGTTTTTGATATAAAAACAAAATTATCAAAACAAGAATTTTTTTTTAATTTCTTGTGCATCTAGAAAATTACAAGAAAATTCCCGAGAATTTTAAGTTCTCATATTTTCTTCAAAGACATTCTATATGTAGAATAGACATTCTATATGTAGAATAGACATTCTATATGAATAATGATTAACAATTAAAACAGATGCAATATCTGAATTTCTTTCTCAATCACAAATTTTATCTCCTGTCTATTCTGTAATTAAATTTTACATATACATGTGCTTTTACTAAATTGTATATCTTTATATTTATATATAATATATATTTAATTATATATACTTTTATTAATTTTTAAATTAACGGCCGAACAAAATAGTTAAATCATGGTCTCGATTTGCATCTGTCTTCGTTTGATTTTCTTTTTCGTCGGAAAGACGCGTCGAATTTTATGTGGGCATTATATGCGCGCGTCGCAGGTATCTTACACAAAAAGAGAAAAAGAGACATATATGCGTGCGGTGCACAGGATGCAGCGGAAGACGCATTATCTTCCAATTGAATCCCACGTATGCGGACGGCGCTTTGCAGTGGCGCGCATCGAACAATGTCGACTCGGCAACATAACGCGAATACCAAGTAACCATTGTCGTAACATAAGTTACGAACTGTAATAAGGACTCTATCTAATATTGTTTTCTGGCAGAATGATCGGTACCATTTACTTCAAACACGAAGTTCATATGTATTCCAAGATGCGAGGGTTCCATAATAAAAAGCGGTAATAAAAAGCTAATTTTTGGATGTTCAAGCCGTTAACCGGCCTCGCGGACATATATCTTCTTTATTAGAATGGTAAAGTATTCAGTACCTCTTATCTGAGTTCATTAACATATTCTCCGAGTGATGTGATTTAAGGTGTTTACGCTCTCTACGATTTTGAAATAGAATAATGTATGCAAAAAAAGTAGCTACTGAATACATTATAGTCGTAAATCTTCTTACTTTCTGCTCTTTTTCTGATATTCTTCATACGATCACTATCTGATCAGTAAATTGCTGGTTAAACAAGTATTACATGCAATTAGACATAACTTAAAATATGAAAAAGTAATATAAATTTCTAAAGAGACCAACAAATTTGTAATATTAAATTATTTTAATTACCTTCAATCTATCTTATCATTAATAGCTTAATAAATCGAAATACGTCCAAAAATTAAAAAAAAAATTAAATTTTATGTATGTATAAGAGTATCCTCCTAAAATAAATATCTCTATCTCTATAAATATAAATATCTCTAAAATTATATATACATAAAAATATATCTAATAAAAATATATATAAAATAATTTTCAAATAAATTAAGACGAATTCTTTCTTGATCGCACATATTTTCTCGAGATTTTGAAAGACTTATAAGATAAAAATCTGCATTGAGCGGCGCGAATATATACGCGCAACGGTATCTCGAGGGAATTATTCCAATTCGAGAGTCTCCAGGATGTGTCTCGTACTAATGCCCGTGCGATGGCACGTCGCACGAGTCGGCGAAAAGCATGCGAGGAATCCGAAGACGAGCCTAATTGCTCGTGGGAGTGCACGAGTGGAATGCAAAACTAGGAGATCGCGCACACGTGACACCGTCTCGAGCAAAAGCCACGTCAAACCGCACCACGCCGGTGTGCAAATGTCATACACGTGTCGACGAGACTTCTCGACCTCTATTCTCGTCCCTCCGACATATTACTCGCAATTCGCATTCTGCAAAGGGGTAATAAATAGCCGACAGACCACCCGTCCGTTTTTCGACAAAACTTGACGCGAGTACAGATTTGAAATTAAATCAAATATAATCGTTTTCGAAACGAATTCTTGGATGAATGATCGATATGAGGTTGACGTTACAATGTAGTTTCTCTTGTTTCATATAGAATTTATCGTATAATCCTTTGCTTCTTTAATTCCAAGCGTTTCTCTTCAATTTAATTTCGTAATAAAAAAATCAGGCCTTAGAAATTTTTAAAAATTCCAAGCAAATCCATGACGTCGGAAACAATTAACGATATATTTATTTTTTGACTAATCAAAAAATTACTATTTGAATAAGATTAAACAATCGTATTGATTTCCATTTGATTAGAAAGATTCTCTAATGTCTTGCTGCGAGGCATCTTTCGCTGCGACTCGTCCGTAAATGAATGGGAACATCTACTCGGAAATATTCAAGTAGGCACATGATCATAAAGGTGTGCTCGAAAATGTCCATTCTACCTCTATAATGAGTGTTAAAATTTAACTTCCGCGAACGATATTTCATGAAAAGAGCGAGATTAATGTGCGCGACATTAATGCAACCTTTATTAAATTGCATTCGACTGACAGCCGATTGAACGGAACATGCAACTCGTTAATTGAGATACAACAGATATATTATTCGTTCCGCGATATCTTTCACGAGCTGCCATAATTTACAGGTCCTGTCTCGTGTTGCATCATCGCCAAATCAACGGTATTCACCCGCGAGTATATTCTTCTCGAATTCAACGCCTCTCTGCCCTCTTTCTTCCTCTCTTTCACTCTCGCAGCGAGCCTCATTATGGCGCGCCGTGCGTCTGACAGCCGCATAAAAAGTCCAGGAATTTACCCCCATTTAAAGTATTCGTGAATTCTTAAACGATGTGGCGTGTACCGTTGCGCACTCCCGTAACCGTCTCTCTCTCTCTCTCTCTCTCTTTCTCTCTCCGTCTCCTTCACGGTTCTTGTCACTTCTTTTCCTCTCTGCGATCCCAAGCTCGTTCCTCACGCCTCGCACCTCGAGCTCGGCCCGTTCGTGAGAACCCTCGTTGAATCACGCATCGCGGCCCCTACGCCCGCGCGCATATTAAGCGCACACGGGGCCTTCGCACGGTCGAGCGGGCCCGCGCCCCGTATAACAACGTTGTAAATGCGCAACACTCGCGGAAATGTACCTGGTAACCATCGGGAGACAGGTTTCGTGATTCGCAGATCGTCCGTCCGGCGAGAGCGAGGAACGTGCGCGCTCGAACGCGGAGTAACGCTCTTCTCTAAGAAAGAAAGAACGGAAATCGACTCCGATTTTTTCCTCTCAAATTGTCCACTGCATGGACCATCGATTATAATCTTCGCGGTTATAATTCTCTCGTTCAACAATTCATAATTTTTCTCTGACACAAAACATGGATGAGAGAGATATCATAATTTTTTATTTAAATTTATAATCAGATTGTAAAGTTTTGCAAATCGATATTGTATTATAATACATTATAATATATTGTATTTAACGTGTCATGTTGTCAGATCATTACGAATAATACGAATTAATTCTATGCAAAATCCTTGCGAGTAGCTGAGATTTAGGAAGTAGGTTACAATCAAAAGTCATCCATTTCTGTTCTGATATTAAATGAAATAAAGACAAAAGTGCAAAAGGATGTCGGATCAGAATAAAACCTAAAAGTTACACGTTTTATAGTCGATGAATAATAAATATATCATCGATCGGATATATTCGTTCGGATAGATATTATATTAACGTTCACAATTCTAATATAGCATCATACAATACAAATTTATGGTACCTGACAAAGAGTCGGAATAGAATCAAATTTAGTGCAGGAAATAAAATCGAGTTTGTTATAAGATTAGAAATGCTATAAATAAGAGAAAGATATCGAAAGAATCCGTTATCATGAATAAATGCATCATGACACACGACAAGATAATGTGAGCAGATAATAACAAACTATTTACGACTATTATAACGACAAGCTGGTAATATATGATAATTGTTAAGTGTAAACTGGTTATGGTAATAATAATGTAGCATTTAATTCGCGCGTGCGTAGGAGAAACAACAGCGGTAAGAAATCTGTCAACGATTAAAGAGTTAATTTTAGATAATAATAATAATAAAAGCGCGGGAGGAGCGAGTGTAACAGAAAAATTATCTAGAAAAGCACAGAAATCGATGTTTCCCGATAAGTTACGCAAATTGCTTCACGTTGATAAACGAAGTCGTATCATTACGAGTCGTATCATCGTACGCCCATTGGCAATGTACACGTTCCCATAAATCAGGCGAATATCCAGCCTTGCCGGGGCCGCCAACGATCGGCGTGTATCTGTTGCGCTATAATCGTTACATCTGTTACATCGTAATCGTTATCGTTCCAATTATCCGCGGACTTAACTGGTCGAGAGAGACAGAGAAAGAGAGAAGCAGCGATTGAAGGAAAGAACACATTGAGTCGCAGATGCGGATGTACATTCTCGATCAGCATAATTCTCATGTTATCATGGATTAGAAAGAGAGAGAGAGAACGAATGCACAGTCGCGAAATCATATATGACAAAATTATCTATTCTCATATTCCTTTTCTTAAACATTTTTTTTTAACAATCTAAATAATTTGTTTTCCTTTTTTTATTATATCTTGCAACTTTTTGATTG